CAACACTATATTTAGTTATTTTTATAATTGGTGGATTTTTGCAATTATCATAGTAAGTATATTTCTCCTCCGCTAAACATAAATCTCTAGGACAGACATCCTGTTTTATGATTGCTGTTTCATTTGTTTATGGTAGATTAATTTTAAACTAAAAATGATTTATATAAGGAAATTCTTTTTCAGCAAGTCTGAGTTGAGGTTAAAATATATCCAGGTGGCTCTAATGTGCTCCCATGTTTGCAAATCACTGAAATAAGCAAATATGCTGTTAGATTATCACCACACAATACAAGTTTCCAATGAACTGATGAACTTTTGCTTTTTGGGGGGTGCTTTTGGGAGACATTCAGTGATGATCAGGTCATATTCTAGCTCTGGCTTAGGGACCTACTCTTGGCACTGCTCAAGATATGAAATGTAGCAGTGTTATGGATTAAACCAGGATCAGCTGGATAGAAGGCAACTGCCATGCTCTGAACTATCTCTTGGGCCCAACAAGATAATTTTATACTTCACAAATGGCTAGTGTATTATTAAGACTACTAGTGATGGGCACATTTTTTCCTAAGAATTGCAGAGATCAGGAATTACTAAAATATCTGGGAAAGCTTGGGAACCATTCCTAAAATTACTCTAAATGAGCAATTAATGGAAGTTTTGGAATCATCATAGAGTGCAGCTGAATAAAAACCAACCGTTAGAGAATGTAATTTTATTTCTCATGAATGCTAGTACATAATAAATTAAGATGATTTTTCCCCAGAGGAATCATCTCAGTTTCTTACAGATGCCCATGATTAGTAAATACCCACCCCTTTGAAAAATTGACACTTAACACTTACCAAAGTGTAAATGGGAGAAACATGAACTTGAATCTGCAAAGTGCATGGGGAGAAAAGTATGAGACTATGTAGCAAGTTTTTATACATGGCTACAAGTAACTAAGGTTTCTTTAATGTTTTGTTTCGGTTTGGGAGCCACACCTAGTGGTGCTCAGAACTTTGCTCTAGCTATGTGTCTGGATCACACCTGACAGTGTTAGGGGATCTTATGTGGTGATAAGGATTGAACCTGATTGGAGCATGCAAGGCCTTAAACCTTGTATGATTTCTGCAGCCAGTAACTAAGGCTTTGTAGGCAACGGGGATAGGCAATTTGTACATACATATCTGCATGACCTTGTATATTTTAATTGGGTGTATTTATAAAAATACAGTCCATGGTTTATTTTCCAATAACATCACACTCATAGCATATATGGTACTTCTAAAGTACTGTACTTCTAGAGATATCTTTATCCCCCAAATTGATATCATGTAAAAATATTTTAATTTCAGCTTAATATAAATATGTAAGTAGTAAAGGTACATCGTTGTTTTTTGTGGGGTTTTTGTTGTTGTTGTTGTTTGTTTGGGGGGCACACCTGGTAGTGATCAGGGCTTGCTTCCTCTTGGCTCTGAGCTCCACAGGCTCCTGGCTGGCATAAAGAACCATATGGGGCACTTAACCCACTGTACTATCTTTCTGGTTCTGTAATTTAGTGTTTTAAGACAAGCTTGTGATTTGGCATCTTAAAGCAATAAGGGGTGAGGAGATTGTACAGAGCATGAACTCTTCCGGGTTAAATCTGGAACACTGTCAAATACAGCCTTGGAAGGCTCATGAACTCCTTTGCTCCTCTGGTGTTGTCCTGAGCTCCTGCAGTCCTGAGAGCTCCCCGGGCATAGTGACGTGTGGCCCTGAGGGTCACACTAGTACTGTGGGGGTAGCCCAGGTAATCACAAGCCCTGACATTGAACATCTGACCCCATTGGATGAGAATTTCCAGGTGTCGCCCTCTCCCCTGCCAAAAGATCATCATATACATATATATATATATATATATATATATATATATATATATACAATGATTCAGTGCTGAAGGATGAAGTCAGAGAACCAACTAGAGTAGATATTTTTTCTGTATTTTTTTTCGGGGGGGGGTGCACCCAGAGGTGTACCTACTCCTGGCTCTGCTCAGGGATCACTCCTGCCAGGTACAGGGGTTCACCTAAGGTGTCTGGGATCTAACATGGATCAGCTGTTTGTAAGCCAAGCACCTTACTTGTGGTCATCATTCTGGACCCATTCTATATCTTTTGAATATTTTATTTATTTATTGGCTTGGGGGCCACACCCAAAGTACTCAGGGCTGGTTCCTGGTCTGTGCTCAGGAATCCGACCTGGCTAGGCTCAGAAATCAGTATTGGGTGCTAAGAAATGAACCGAACTCGAGAGGGCTAGGAACAAGGTAGGAGTCCTACCCACTGTAGTATCACTTCTCCACCCTACAGCCAGAGCATAGCACAATGGGTATGCTTCCTGTGGTGTTCAATTCCTGGCACCCTAAACGGTCCCCTGATCACTTCTAGGAAGGAGCTTGGCTCACAGTGCATAGAGCCAGGAGTAAGCCCAGAGCATTGCTGGGCATGTGCCCACTCCCAAAGAGAAAAGCACCCCATACTGCATGGGTGTTCTTCTGAAAAATGCCCCAATGATGTCCCAAAATAATGACAAAATATCTTTAAAATACTCTATAAACTACAAGATAGTGCATATTTAGTGAATTTTTTTAGTAATTGTGTATATATGTGAATATACATGCATATGTATATACCATTATTTTTAGTTAGGCACTATGATTTATAAAGTCACTGACAATAAAGTTTGAGGCATAAAATGCTCCAATTCTAATTCTTTTAAAAAGATACGCTATAATTTAAAAGACACTTCAAAATTAATTTCTGAACAACTATTCTAAAGAAATGCTCAAATAAAAGTGCTGTCAGGACACTATTATACTCCCGTGTCATCCATAATTTACATATTGTTCTATCTTCTGGTACATTATGAATTGTTATGGGCCATGTTGATAAATACACATCAGAATCACTACCATGAAGCAGTACCATGTGTTTATAAATATATAAAAAACACCATAAATATAAAAACCACCTGGAAATGCAGATTTATTTTTTAAAAAGGAAAAGAGAGCAGTATGTAAAATGCAACAGGACTCAACATTATTCATCATTTTACAAATTTATTTATGTATTTATGTATATATTTTTATTGTCTTGAACTTCAGATCTACAGAGGTAAATGCATTCACTCCATAAATATTTACTGATTGCCTAAGATTCGCTAGGCATAACTGGAAAAACTAGAGAATATAAAGATGACAGTTATATTCTTTGCAAAGAGAATATAAAGATGGTTATTTTCTTTGCTCTCAATGCATTTACAACTGAGCTGAAGGTTAGTACATACACAGAAATGAATTATAATGGTGTATATAATAACAACTATCTAAACTGTTAAAAGAATCTATGTAAACAAAAGTTTGATTTATTTCTTAAGTCACTTTTAGTGTCACACATTATATTAAATGCTTTATATTTTCAACTGAATAGCATGTAGTGCATGGACACTAAGGGAACATCTAAGTGCCAAAGTATTTAAGAAAAAACAGGCATGCCACAATACCATGGGTCAGCACAAGGTCAGTACAAGCTGGCCAGTTTTGGGAAAGGGTAAAACTCCCTTATCACTTCTATTATTTGCACATACAGAGAAGCACAACCTATTTTTTTTAACAATCCACAATTTGCACTTATCTGGAGTTGCAAAGTATTTTTGTTTAATCTAATTCCATATACCATTGATTTCCAGTTCATCTACTTAAACCAAATTCCCTGTGCCCTTGATAACTGTACATTATACTGTTTTACAGTGAAAGTTATTACATCACTAATCTGAACAGTATATTTTTATTCAGAATCTCTCAAATTTAGCAATGAAGTTTTACTAATTTTGAATTAGTAAAACAAAAACAAATTTACAATTCCTCAGATGAAATCTAGACTGGGCTCAATTTTCTTTGCAGCTTCTTTTTTCTGTGATCTAGTTAAGCAGTACTGGACATTTTTAAAGTATGTCCAAAAATATTTGGTAATAAAAAAAGCAGTAACAACAAAAATAGTCTATATACTGGATCAATACACATTCTCTCCAGCTTGCCTTACATTCTACATTTACACTTAAGAACCCCTGCTTTGAATAATGGCAGTCAAACTGTGCAGGTTGCTTAAACAGAAATGCTCAAACAAGTCTTGATAGTATACTAAGGCACAAAGTGAAAAAAAAATCACATTCTTTATAACACAAAAAATCACATTCTTTTAGCAATCAAAATCTTTATAGCAACAGGTCACAAAAACTTACATACTGGTTGAAAATGAAAAAGATTGATTAAATTCTCAGATTAATTCAGAACATTTAATCAGCAGAATCAATATTTTCCTAAAGAGTTCTACCAAATTTAAATTTTGGTATACCAAACAAGACTCCATAGGAACTCTTTTGCCAAAAGAAAACAAACTTTTAAAAATTGATTTAGCACCAACAACTTTTAAACTGCAAGCAAAACAAAACAAACAAAAAACTACAAAAACTAAGATTACACTTTGAGATGGAATGTTTCCCAAAGATGGTAATAGAAAACTTGTATTTTTCAAGTGGAACAGTGCTATAAATCTACGGTTTTTTCACCAGAACAGATATATAAACACTGCTACCAAAAACTCTGAATAAACCAGGCATTTGCAGTAACAAAGTAATTTTAAAAGATCAGTACTATTTTAATACGGAATAAAAGAAAAAGTTCATAATTTTGTATATACTACTATATAGCATTCGACATAGAATATGAAAGTGGCTCAGAGAGAAGACAAAATATGAATTAGTCAATCCTTATCTGTATACAAATTCAAAAGCATGATCTTTCAGAAAGGTGTAGGAAAGTATTAAAGCCAAGGTTTTGACTGCCCGCAGTCCCAGAGTCTCTCTTCTCTTCTCTCCTCTCCTCTCTTTCTCTGTCTCTCTCTGTCTCTCTCTGTGTCTCTGTCTGTCTGTCTCTCTCTGTCTCTCTCTCTCTCTCTCTCTCTCTCTCTCTCTCTCTCTCTCTCTCTCTCTCTCTCTCTCTCTCTCTCTCTCTCTTTGCGTACAGAGGTTAAGATGGGTGCATTCCACTGGGAGGCAAAAGCCACGCAGCGATAAAATCACAAATACAGAAGGAAGAAGGAAAACGAGGAGTCCGCAAGGTACATCAATCAAAGCACATCTGGACACGGGGAGCACACAAGGGCCGCATTCCTTAGCTCCAGAGCCCTGCATAGTTCCCGTGGAGGCCTGATGGGAGAGGCCCCCCGGCCGTGAAAAGCTTCATCTCTGACCAATTGTAGCAGTGGGTATAGAGAGCATTGGGGAGCTCGCCAGCTCCGCCAAAGTAGTTCACCCACAGGTTATTGTAGTTGAGCCAGCCTTTGCCACAGGTGAGCCTGAGCTTCTTGCGAAAGGGTCCGGGACAGCAGTCCTGGCTGGACGAGGCTCTCTCCTCCAAGAACTTCTGTGCACGGACATCATAGAAGAGCAAGGACCCGTGGCCTGTGCCCACGGTGACCAAGTGATGGTAGAAACTCAGAGAACGCACGCCTGTACCTCCCTCTCGGGGGCACAGGGGCCAGATGTTCTGCTGACCCTGGCGCAGATCGAGGAAGGAGATGTGTGACTGTGAGCCCACCACGAACAGGGACGGCTCGTCGCAGAAGGCCAGGCACACGTTCTCCCGGCAGTAGGGCAGCCTGAAGGACAGCATCCTGGCCAGGTTGTTCTGGACTTTCCACAGGTGGAAGTAGCCATCGAGGGACACCGCTCCCAGCTCTTGGTTCCTGGCGCTAAAAGCCAGAGCCCGCACCTTACGGTTGCAGGGGTTGGTGGGCGACCTGGGAATGGTTTCTATGTCCCGGGGACGGATGTGGGTGTACACGGGCAGCCCCGAGGCGTCGCTGGCCCGACTGTTGATCAAGTCAGTGTCTACCTGCCACAGAGCCACGCTGCCGTCGCGGGAGCCGCTGGCCACCACCCGATCACTTATCCAGGCGATGGTGAAGATCCAGTCCCGGTGACCCAGGCGGTCGCCCAGACACACGGGGTCCAGATCGGGTAACTGGTAGATGGCCAGGCTGTTGGGGTTCTCGCCCCCGGTGGCCAGCAGCGTCTTGGAGGGATTCAGCTCGATGGCGTGGATGCCGCACAGGGGCTGGGCGCGGGGCAGCCCGGGCAGCCGGTCCCGCAGGAGCGGGATGGGCGAGATCTGGCCAGAGTGCACGTCCAGCACGAAGAGTGTGTTGCACTTGGTGCCGCACACCACCTGCCTGGCGTTCAGCCACTGCGACGCGAACACCTTGTTGAGGGTGCCCAGGGCCAGCTCGCGCTCGGTCAGCAGTTCGGGCAGCTTGTGCACCGCGTAGCCCCCGAGCTCGCCTTCGGCACCCCGGCGGCCGGGCCGAGCCCGCAAGCCCACCTCGCGGGCCAGCAGGTACCGCACGAGCGAGCGACTGGGCGCGGGGGGCCGCTGCTTACTGGGCACCAGCTGCCCCGCGCCCTGCGTGGGCTCCAAGTCCAGGGTGGCCCGGCGGGCAGCGATCGCCTCCGCCACTTTCCGCTTTCTGCTACCTGTTGGCGGCGAAGCCATGGCGCTGGGGGGAGGCGGCGGCGGCGCGGGGGTGCGGGGCTTGCGGGGGGCGGCGGCGAGGGGAGTCGCGGGCGGGCGGGCGCCGCGCGGCACCTACCGAGGTCGGGGCGGCTCGGCGGCGCGGTGGGCTCGGAGACGGCTGGGGTGTGGGGGGAAAGCGCGGCGAGCAGAGGGACGCGGAGGCCGGGCGGCGGCGGGAGGCGAGCGCGGGAAAGGCGAGAGCTAAGCGGACGGGGAGCAGGACCCCCCGGGAACCGGCGGGGGCGGAGCCGGGCCCGGAGCGAGGCGGACGGGGGCGGGGCCGGGCGGAGCCAATGCCCGAGGGGCGGGGCCCGGGGCGGGCCCGGGGCGGGCCCGGGGCGGGGGCGGAGCCGGAGGGGCCATGGATTATTGGGGGGGCGCTGGCTGAGGGGGCCGGGGCGTGTGCGTGTCTGTGCCCGCTGGGGCGCGGGGAAGGGATGCAGCGCGGGCACCCGCGTGGCGCTCCGAGCAGGTCCGGTGGACACGCAACCTCAAGCCTGAGCTGAACGAAAGGAAGATGTTTCGCCACTCTGGGGGCGGGGTGCGGCGGGGGGCGGGCGGGGGAGCGGCCGAGGGAGGTTCTGGCAGGCCCGAGTTAAGTCAAATTCCAGACCTAAAGTGGAGTCAAGCCCCAAGTTTGAAATCTGTGATGACTACAAAGAAATCAATGCATGTTGGTGCAATCCTGCCAGACACGACTGAGATTGGGCTCTGTTTAGTGGGTGAAGGGTTTTGCGGGAGTTGCAGGGGGATGTTTTACAACTCTTAGGTTACCACTGACTGCTCCTCTCCCAGCGCCTCTGCTGCTGTTTTACTGTGTCTCCCCTCCCTCGTAATTTTTTTCTAAAACCCCTTTAAAATGGGAAGGTTTTGCTTTTGTGGGAGGGGTTGTGCTGGGGGTTACTAGCAGCAATGCTCCAAGGAATATATGCAATGTAGGGATGGAAAGGGTCAGCTAGTACAAGGCATTAGCTTAAACTCTGTAGAATTCCTCAGGTCCCCTCCCTCTCGAACTGAAGGTTCAGCTCCTACCTGGCTAGTATGTTCCAAATGCAGATCCCCAGGCCCTGCTTTCTGATACATGGTATTCCTTGGTAAGGGGCAGCCTTGACAAAAGTGGATTCCTTAGGGATGTTGGTTTCCTATCTGCCTCAAAGCCTCAAAGATTTGGAAAGCAAGACCCAAGGCAGGATGCTGCTCTCCTTGCTCCTATGTTTTAGCCTCAGTATCAGCTCCAGTGACCCAGGTACCTGGACAGAGTCCCCCTGATCCTTAAGGACAGATGTTGTGGAATTAGCAGTATTTTCACAGAGGTAGACACAAAAGAACTTTTCAGTGGAAGAAGCTACAGGTACACAAAGGTGAGAGAGTTTATTTAAGAAGTGAGAGTGCAGAGTCTGCTGCTTCAGAACAACCAATTCTGGGAAAGGTTCAGATGCACGCATGGTCAGTTACACAGTGGCAGATGGTGCTGGGAGGCTCATGCCCATTACCAGTTCTTCACACACACACACACACACATACACTTAAAAAGCAAAATGAATCTAATTAATTAAAGTTCTAAGACAGTGATGAGACATAGGCATTATTTTTTCTTAAATTTAATTTAATACTATTTTATTTTTGCTACTGCCTCCCACCTTCCACTGCCCTATTGGTTCATTTTTCTCTCCCCCTTTTTGCAATGTGACCTCATGTGCAGGCTCCCCAGTACTCTTCTGAACTCCACTGTATTAACTCTCTATAAGATTCGTCCCAATGCAACAGAAAAGGTTTCCTGTACTCCTGGAGGTGAGCATGAAATTAGGAAAAACTTCTTTTATTTTTTTGATTTTTTTTTGGGTCACACCTGGCAATGCACAGGGGTTACTCCTGGCTCTGCACTCAGGAGTTACTACTGGCGGTACTCAGGGAACCATATGGGATGCTGGGAATCGAACCCGGGTCGGCCGCATGCAAGGCAAATGCCCTACCCATTGTGCTATGTCTCCAGCCCAGGAAAAACTTCTTAGAGGCAGTTGTATTTTGTTTTCATAGGTAGGGTGGGAAATATGATGTTTCAGAAAGAGGCAAGGGTATGGGCAAATGCACAGAGTGTAATAAACCTTGTACAAAAACCTTAGTGTGAATTCAAATCAAGGGATAGCGTAATATATATGCACATTTTTAGCCTGGTCTTAAGATTTAATGCAAATGGTCATTGGGTTGGACTGCTCTGCAACACGCAAAGAAAGTCACAGCATTTCAGATCTCAAAAGGATATGTTACAGGTTTAAGATGTTACAGGTAGAAGATTAACATCTCCAATGTACTTCAGGATCACACTGATCCAAGTGAGTGTACAAAATCCTTTCTAGGTAAAGTGTCTGTGATCAGGTTGAGGCCAAGCAAAGCATGGTTTATGCCAACAAGTTGTTAGTGTTTTGAATATAAATCTTGCTATAAAAGTTTTACCATATAACTCAATACCTTTACTACGTATTGTACAAGCAAGCATTTTCATGGCAATTTTACAAATAATTTGATTAATTCATTATATTATTTTTTCTTTTGTGGGTGAGGAAATTTATGCTTAGAGAGGAAATAATTTGTCTAAATTCAATGAATTAGTATGTAATGTATATAGGATTGGAGCCAAAGTATTGTGAATTCATATTTCATCTTCTTAAGTCAACTCTCACCAGTCACCAAATCTTCCAGTGCCTGTCTGAAATGATGGGGAACAAAAGATTTTAAGCATCCAGCCTATGGCATTTTATAGAGCAGTCCACATAAATGTAGGCACAATGTATAAGATAACACCAGCAGAGGGACAAAGGCATGCGGGTCCCAGGGCTGAAGTCTCCAAGCCTGCTCGGATCGGGGTTGAGCATCCTCCACCACGATCCTCCATCTTCCAGTAGGCAGGGGTCACACCCACCAACTGCCCCTCCACCCCTGGCGCTGTGTAATCTCATCAACAGCCAAGACCCAGAGACTATAAAATCCAGCTCCTGGAAGCACGTGGCCGTGGCATCTTATTATCTCATTCTTACTTTGGACAACCTGGCAGGCAGATATGCCCACACGGCAGAGTCTGGCAAACTCCCCGTGTTGTACCCAATATGCCAAATACCAGTAACAAGGATGGGACTCAATCTCCTCGCCCTGAAAGAGCCTTGAATATAGCACTTTTTAAAATCTCAGGGCTAGGGTGAAGGACATGTTACTGGTGCCTGCTCAAGGCAAGATAACACCTAGATGTTGCAAATTGATGTAATAAGATTGACATGAGTTGATAGTTACTGAATCCGTGTGACAAGAATAAGTTTTCTGTTCTATTGTTCTGTCTACTTTCATCAATATTAAAAATTAAATATAAACTTACTCTAAATAGGAGATGTCTTGGGGATCTGAACATATATACTCATTATATGATTTGGGTTTTTTCCATCGGTGAGACTTAGTTTCCTTTGATAGATGATATTCATAGAAAGATAACATCTAAAGAATCCCATGTGTGTTTGTAGGCCCTATATTTAATATATTGTATAATGGCATATTTTTTCAATGACTACTTTATAAGAGTGTAAAATTATTTTATGTTTTAGAGTTACAAAGGTAGCACACCATAACTGCCAGCAAAGTGCCAATAACCCCACCCCACCACTGTCCGACAATTCTTCTAGTCTGCTCAGAATCCTGATTGGCAGCCTCAACTCTTACCAGAAACTAGGTGTTTTCAATAGACATCTCTTTTCTTTTTAACGTACCACAGATGAATTAAATCACCCTGGTTTTGTCTCTGCTTTTGACTTACTTCACTTAACATAACACTCTCTAGTTCTATACAATTTATAGTGAAATGTAAGAACATCTTTTTTAAATAGATGACTGAGTTGTATTCCAATGTGTGTCTATTCCGAAATTTCTTAGCCATACATCTATAGGATGTGTAGGTTGTTTCCCTATCTTGGCTATTGTAAATAATGTTTCCGTGAACATAGGTATGCACATATGTTTTCTAATTAGTGTTTTTCTGTTCTTGGAATAGTTACTCGAATAGTTACCATGGATCGGAATTTCTGAATCATATGGTTGCACATTTTATTTTTTTTACTTGAGAGAGAGAGTTTAATAGGATGATCACATATTTTGCATGCAGAAGCCCCAGTTTCAATCCTTGCATAGACTACCAAATACTACCTGTAGCAACCCCTGAATGCAGATCCAGGAGTTATATCTCAGCACTCCTGGTGTGAGAAAAAAGACAATAAATTACAAAAAAAGGAGTAGAGTGACGGATACAGTTCAGTGGCACATAACTTCCCTTGCCTGTATGAAGCCGTGGGTTTGATTCTCAGAACCAAGAAACAACAAAACTCAACAGCAGAGCTAAAGAGAGTACAGCAGGTAGGGCACTCACCTTGCACACAGCTAACCTTGGTTTGATCCTGAGTATGGCATCTGGTTTCCTGAGCACAGCCAGGAGAGAGGAAACCCTGAGTATCTCCAAATGTAGCCCCCCAAGATAAACAACAAACAAAACCAACTTAATAGTAAAGCAAACAGAGACACCTCCTGACCCTGTGCCAGGATGAGTCTCACCAGGGGAACCCCAGAGAGGGAAGGTGAGCCCACCACCCACCCAAACAGAGCCCTGGCAGCTGCAGCCAAAAATCTCGATAACCCAATCGCTGCCATGCTCATGGCAGGACTCCATAGGTTCAGGACAAGGCATTCCCAGAAATGAATCTGTTGAAAAACTCAGGTATGTGGGTTTCATGAATGAAATCTCCAGTCTCTCACAGAGTCCAGGAGGGCCAATCTCCTTCCATCCCCCTGTTCTTCTGGGAACCTGGCAGTCATGCCCATGAACCACCTCTGGCACCATATAAGCTCATTTACCAGCCATGATCCAGAGACGCATAAACAAATCTTGGCAGAGATGGACAAGCTGCAGAGATGCTTCTGGACCCCAAAGTCACCATCCAGTTAAA